TTAAAACATTCTTCGAATTCGCTACAGTTCATCTACTGGATGTAAAACAAAAGAAGAAGACCAGAGAACAAAATTAGTTCTACATCCTCTTGGTTTCAAAAATATCAACTAGTTTTTGTCTAGCTATAAAAGCGAAAAAAAGAACCGTGAAGACAATGGGCCATTTAAACAAAATGTGAAATGAATGTTCATGTTATAAATTATGTTAAAATACACGAATATTTTGAACGCATGCACACACAAACGGAAATAAAACCATGCGAACAAAAGCATATTAGTTCGTACACCTACATATGTAAATTACGAGGCTGGACTTTTAAGCTTCAGGGTGCTCGTTACTCACGGCTGCTTACATTTATTAATTTGCTGCAACCCTAACTAATGACTTTACGGATCAATTCCTCATAATTCTCTGTCTGTATATTTACGGATGACAGCACTCAAAACGTAGAGTTTTTACAGATGTCTTGAGAAGCTAGAAGCACTGGCCCAAGTTATCATACAGTGCCAATACGTTATATACGATAAAGTACAAACTTTGCATGTTTAACTCTTGTTCACGAAATGATCAGACATTAGTCTATTCTTCCAATATAATTATGACCACTATAAAACCAACCGTCAGTAAGTAAAAATGATGAACTAGCTTGTTCCTCGAGATCAATATAAACGCCAAAGATCCTTAAAATGGGTGGTTGTTTTTAAAATTTAACCGAATCAGAAAAACGAAGAGTTAAACAAATATGCAGTTATGTTTTGCTGTTTTTGTACTTTTTCTATCCCGTTCAACTAACTTTACTGTTGATAAATTCTTATCGAGAAAATCAGAAGTGGTTCAGTTAGCAAAGTACTTTTTTAACATGGCAATTAGTTCAAGCAGTTCACTTTCTACCATGCCATAACGCATGCGTTTCTTCAGTATACCAACCCCATCCAACGCTATTTATAAACAAGTGATAATAAACACATTATTTTTAAGAAACCACTGGGAATAATGTACTAAGAACATGTGAAAAAAATTACACAAAGAGTTAAAGAAAGTCATAAATATTTTACTAATTATCATAAAAATGTTTCAATACAGTTAATCAGCTCAAATATATTAAAATAAAAACGTTCTTGTAAATTACACATCCTGTTGTTGATTTGTGGAACTTCGTATAAAGATACTCGAGCGTGAGGGTTATCTGCGCTAGCCGCCCCTAATTATGAAGTGATAGACAAGAAGGAAGGCAGCTATTCAACACCGCCCACGCCAAATCGTGGACTCCTACAATGGAATAGTGGGATTTGTCCGTCACTCTTATAACGCAACCATGGCCAAAAAGTGCGGATTGCAAACCATGGAACTTCAAATCTATAGTCCAGAACGTTAACCACTGAGCAGTGTTCGACCCAACTGTACGTGCATTGGTATCACTAAAATATATTTGATTACATATATTATTCCTAAAGATATATATATTCATGAATAATTCAACAGAGCGCCATAACTTGAACAAAGGATTGAAATCAGAGAAAGTAACAAGGAATTCCAAATCAGTAATAAAACGTCTGAAACATGAGTCAGTAAGTAAGACAAGAAAGAGTTGATATCTTACTAAGAAAGTAATGTTTTTTTTTTGGGGGGGGGGGGTCGGGTAAACCTTGTTACAAAGTTACAAATACACTTGTACCAGAGACCTTAAAATGGTATTTTTACGTTTCTGGTTGTTTGTTAATTTCAGGTATAAATTCTTTCCGAGGAACTTCAGCGATACAAGTCCTTTCTTGATTAAACCCGTTTATTCTTCCTCGATACAAACTTTTAGTACACAGTAATTCCACAATCGATACGTTTCTCGTCACTTTAAAGTTAACTACTTTTATAATACACGCTATAAATCACAGCAATTCACAATCTCGATAACTTCACACACTAGTTCGAAACAGAAACGTAAATTACCCGGAACTATCTTCATTCATCCTCGCAGGCTTTCACTGCCAGGAGTATATACCAACGAAGGGGGCGTCTCAAATACACTCGGGCCTTCCCGATCATTCGAGAAATTCACGTGCCACCAGCGTCACGTGACTTCCGCTGTTCTAACGGTATGTACACAACCGGAGTACAGGATAAATAATTGTAACAATCTATCATCATAATGATTTTTTGGTCGTCATTAACTTCTTTGGTATACACGAGACTGCAGTGCTCGACCTTTGTTACCTAATGGCGTCTTTAACGTTTTCATATTACTGTCGATATACTGTCACAAAATTTATCAATGATAATTGAGAATGTCTTGTAACTGAACATGTAGCTACATTGATGAGCTAAAACACAAAATTAAAACCTTTAACAAGATATAACTACTGTTTTTATACAAATCCAGACCATGATAACAACAGACACTATGTTATCTCCACGTCTGAGCTTAAACATCCTATGATATGATTTCATTAAAATAACAATAGAATAAAATCACTTGACTGTTGACCCTTAAAGCTGTAGAAAATAAATATATTTTCATGCAGGAATAATATATGTTTTATTCAGGCAGGTTTTACACTTCACTCAATAATGCCAGTATATTATATGCTCATGACATACAGAGTACTGTCAAAGAAAAAAAAAGACAAACCAACACTGTTTCTAACGTAGAGGATAGAGATAGATGCAATAGTTATACAAAATACAGAATGTAATATCAAATATTCGTTTAGGAATGCGACTGACACAATGCTAGCCAGTTTCAAGGACATATGCTCTTTAACTCTTACCAAAAGCCTAAAATAAACATTGGATTCCAACACATACACGATAACTTCTAGGAAAATTAATTATTGCGTTTCACTAGCCAATTAAAAGGCCTATTGAACTGTGAAATAAAAGCTATTTCTGAACTATAAAATTAGGGTAAAAGCATTTCTGAAAAAAAAAGCATTACAAAATTATTCTATGGCTAGTTTGAAAAAACTGACATTTGTCATTTCTTGTAATCAGAAGTCTATCTTAAAGAACTGTGTGCAGTTAACGATTATGTTTGAAAATTCGAACGTTTTAGTTGGTATTATGAATATAATTAACATTTCGAAAGAATTCTAAGCTTCACCCGCTTAGCAAAAATTGTTCTTAACTTTAAAAATTACAGCTCAAAGAGAGCGCTAGCAAGAAAAAGTTGATATTATCCAGACATTACGTTTACAGTAAACCTAAAGCACATAAAAGCGGTATCTAAAAATTATGCAACACTGCCAACGCCACAGTTTGAGATCGGTACAGATGGCACATCCTCTATACTATTACAGTAAAACACTGCCAACGCCACAGTTTGAGGTCGGTATAGATGGCACATCCTCTATACTATTACAGTAAATCATACAGTTCGGTGACTACAGTAAAGTTTCAAAATGCTAGCATAAAATACCCACGTTCCCTGCCCTGCAGGGTTTAATTCCCTCTCCTCAAGATCCACATAGATTCCAATGTACTGCTCAAAATCAACCATTATTTCCAATTACTTCCACAGCCACTCCAAGTGGGATCCGTTCTCCTCCAAAACCATGCGTGGTACCCATGCAGTACATCCTTACTTGTGTGTGCGGGTATAAATACAGTTTCAAAAACAGAGCTCCAGAATCCTGAGTGGGGTCAGGAACACAAAATACGATGGCAGATTCGGGCTGAGCGACCCTAAAACTTACCCTTAAATCTCCATTATGCCCGGATAACGGGCAACCATTTCGGCGCATTTTTAGACCCCTTTATAGGGGACTACGCCATACGGATAAAGACATCGCCCCGCAAACTACACCTAGTTCGCCTGACAAGTTTGGTCCTGCTATCTCCAAAAATGTGGTTAGCAAAAGAAAATTAAATATGGTACCCTCGGGATCCTAAAGGGGGTTAGAAACAAAAACAGAGTGTCAGTTTGTGGTTCAATGACCTTGGAAACATACTCCTCCGAGTCACATTCCGTGGGTTTTCATTAGATCTTTTTCACACATCACATATATATTACTTAAATTGTCAAGGTGAGCGTACGCAAATTATAATAGCTATAAACGTCTGTTTGTTGTCGCATGTTAAACTTCCAAAATGTTACTTGTCACAGAATACTGTACTAATTCTAATGCCCAATGTTTTTATCACTTGTAAATACATAATACAATATTTCAGAGAAATTTCCCAAATTACTAGATAAATCGGTTATAGTGGTTAAAATTTTGTTTTGAACAGCAACAATATATATATATATATATATATATATATATTCGTATTTCATAATATCAATTTCATCCGTAATATAAGAACAGTACAGCCTAAGTTAATTATTTTCTGTTGAAATGTTATTTTAGCAAAGATGTATTGGTACTTAGTGAAAAATAATACAGCGATAAATAAGGCCTTTTTCAAGCTAAGTCTCACTTCAGCCGCAATAGCTCGATGAACACCACATTCTGACCCTGCATAGTTATAAATACTTTTAGAACAGTCTATACTCGAAGTTCTATTATTTTGGGTGGGAGTAACAACGTACAGCAAAACAATGTTATCGAACACCACCCCATTAACCTAATGCATACAATCTAATTCTGCAAACACAATATATTACACGACTGACAACATAATAAATTTTGTTTCTCTGTTGTTAAGCGCAATGCTACATAATGAATAATTTGTGCTGTGCCCACCACGAGTATGAAAACTCGGTTTTTAGTGTTATAAACCAACAGACCTGCCGCTTAGCCACTAGGGGGATAAAAACATAACAAAATAACCTCCTCACTCTTTCCTTTATACATTCATTGAGAAGGGTCATAGCTTTATTATGTAATGTTAATAAAGTTTATATTTCATTGAATAGGGGGGGGGATCTAAAAACTAATGATATGAGTTTGATTTCGTACAATTAACGTCGTTCATGATTTTGTATACGTGGGTGTGTCAAAAAATTAACTCTATTCACAGGACTCTTAATATTTCACGAAAAAAATTGTAAAATAAAAAATCTTACCATAGTTGTAACAACAACAAATGTGTTTTCTTCTTCTGCGCCAGATTCAAAGTAAACAGTCTCCTCCTCCTGAGACTGAAGCGTGTCACTGCTTAGATCCATGATTGACCACTGGCCTGAACAACGCCTACATTAGATTCACTTATGAGTTCCACGTGATAAGGACAAAACTACATTATAAAACAGACCACGGCTCGATACAACGCTCGACTGTTGTTGTATGTATACTGTTTCCTTATGAAAGAACGATCGTGACCTGGTTTGATGCCAACAGCCTTGACGCTTGCCGTAGATCGGGACGGCTAGCAGCTACTTGAAGCCTCGGGCCTGTTCAGCGGTTCTCGGCACGCTGTTTTTATCATATGGGGCTAGCATATCACACATTCAACAGTTGTGCAAAGCAAAATAATTTTCAGTACTTGTCCCAAGAGAATACGCTGATAATTACCAAACACCAAGGGAGTTAAAAGAGACGTACGCTTGTTGCTTTGTTATTGTGATGTAAAAGTACACTAACGAATTAGCATTGCATTTAAAAAACTGCACACAAGATTAACTTATGTTCCACTAGCGTTTAGTCTGGCGTAAAACTAATAACGAAATCCACAGACAGATTGCGCCTATCTAACTAGCACTTCAGAAAAAAGTTAAACACCAAACGACACACGAGCTTACGCATTAGAACACACCTCCTATACTCACGTGCTTCTGCCTAATGGAATGTGCACTTTAAGGGCTTGCTGGGGAAGGAGCCGGAAGGAGTTTTCCAACTCTAAGGGGATGTCCTTGTTTCCTCTCCCCTCTACTCCCCTATCTTACCACTACCCAATCCCAAGTAAATAATTTTACAACCAGTTATTCCGGTTCCTCAGCTCCAGTGACGTTCAATCATGGACACAGTTCGTCGTCGTTGTGGAGCACCAGTAAATGGTTGTTTTTGTTTGCCTAGTCATGAATATTTAGTTTGCTACATCTTCAGTCACGCGTACATTAAATGTAAACTGCATTCAGCAGACGTCGGGAGAGACTTAGCAGCTACACAATAACCAGGTGTGCTTCTCTCAATGTCAATCGAAAAAAAAAACATGTCATAACTGTTCTTTTATTATACTTCAATCAAACAAATCAGTGCATTACAAACTGCACAGTGATAATTATAATCACACTTAGCTAAAGACGAACAACCTTATCTGCAAGCTGGTAATCTCTTACGAGCAGAATAGTAATCTCTAAAATCGTACATTTTAAGTAAATACCATAATAAAATTGTGAAAAAATAACAAAAAGAAGCGAAAAATTGAAAAAAAAATACTCACGAAATTGATTTAATAAAACACTGAAAAAACATACGCAAAATTTTAAAACCTGAAGTTAATTTTTCGTGCTTTGAATAATGATAAAACTTCGATTTCAGTATATTTGAAGCAAAAAAAAAACAGGTTGAAATCGTAAGTTAAAAGAGAGCGCTACCGTTTAAAGATTTTATAGTTATAATGTTTGTTTGTAGTTGAGCACAAAGCTACACAAAGAGCTATCTGTACTCTGCCCACCACGGGTATCGAAACCCGGTTTCTAGCGTTCTTCATCCGCAGATGTACTCCTTAGCTACTGAGGGGCATAACGTGTTCTATTAAGCTCTTCCGTCACAGAATGAGTTATTATTTAATATGTAGTAGTAGTACGAATATTTTTTTAGAAAACACACACACACAGACTGTTTCTGAACAATATGCTCATTTTATCATAGCTTTGCATCTACTGATAAAACACAAACTCGTCTTGTTTTTTTTTCTTTTTTTTGCCGTCTGTGTTGGCTTTGTATTTGGAATAATATAGGAAGGTGCGTATATACATGCGCATAAATTTGAAAAACTTGTACTTTGTACAATATCGCACGACTATAAACCGTATTATGAGGACAAGAGTAATGACACAATATGAACGGAATGTTAACCAACAAAATAGGTACTTCGAAATCTAGTTTTACCTCAGAATTGTAGCGAAATTAATAACCCATTTCTGAAAAAACAGAACTTATATGCTGCAATTATATTTCACTTTTTAACATTATCACAAAAAGACGTCGCTAGAATTAAGTAGAATCAGGATACGAGCCCACGAGTGCTAGCGCTACATCTGTTACCACAAACATTTAGCACCTTAAAACCTATATGACAGAATAAAAGTTAATACGAATTTCAGATTACACGGGTCACATCCTTAATCCTTGATCGTTTGTTAGTCAAATTTTGCGCAAAGCTATTCGAGAGCTATCAGCGCTAGCCGTCCCTAATTTTGAAGTTATTGATTAGAGGAAAGCCATCTTGTCAAAATATTTGGCAGACCAAATAGTGGGATTAAACTGTCAGTATTATATCGAACCCACTGCTATAAAGTATGCAGCGCGATTTTTATTTTTTGGAGGTAACGGGGTAAAAGCTACTATACGTCAGATCCACAGTCATTAATTCTATAACTGTCGATTAGATTCCGACTCCATCAGCTCTTGAAAAAGTTTTTCGAAACAATTTATGCACCAAATTATGTGGATTTATTGCTTTATTTATTACAGAGTCCCCAATAAAATATGAGATACCATTACATTAATTATTGCTGGGATCCACTATATGTTTCACATAGAAAATAACTTTACCCAATAATTTCGATTAGTTATTCGCATTGACTGGAGTAATAGGCAAAAGCATAAAATGGTTCAATATAATGGACTAGGGACCGATACAAAAATAATTTGAAAATATAAGGGTTAACAGCGAAAGTCTACAGCTGACAAAACAATGTAGTTGGCGTGTTTTAAGTAGTAACTGTTTAGTACCGTACTTCGGTATACCATAATTCACCTTAGTAATGATAAGAATTTTAAAGGGCGTTGTTATTAATTAACTTTATGTATGTAGGTTATCTAACAATGAGCTTGCATATAATCACATCACTTCTCTCGGTGGGACAGCGGTATGTTTACAGATTTATAACGCTAAAATTTGGGGTACGATTCCTCCAGCAGATACTCCAATGTGGCTTTGCTCTATCACATTGCAAAGATTGTGTTCTTGCATGCTCTTATCTCACAACACGAAGGTTTTCAGTTAATTTCACTTCCTTGTAAAAGTTTGTATCGAGAAAGAATAATCTGGTTTAATCAAGAAGGGGCTTGTATCGCTGAAGTTCCTCGGAAAGAATTTATACCGGAAATTAACAAACACGCAGATACGTAACACCGTTTTAGAATTGCATTATTCATGGGCTGCATGAGTTTTTGACTTACTGGTGATGTTTTTAATTCCATTTCGAGATCACTATAAGACCATAATATGGAAACCGAAACGTTGTCATTGCCAAAAACTCCTACACAGTTGCCGTTTATAAGTACTGTTTCAATGATTTGTTTAACATACTGTCTCCTACCACCGAACATTAGTCGCTTTTGGGAAGGGTATGTAACAGCCCTTTCCGACACAAAATATTCATTCACTCAGATCATAAAAGATGTTTTCAGATTGGGGATTTAGAATTTCCAAGACGAAGATATCTCTTGAACTTAATGGCATTGGAAAACAAAGGAATGTGGATCAAGTTGTTGTATCAGGACCATCCAAAAACAGACCTACAACAAGCCGTACCCTAGCACTGATAAGTGAGATGTGGCGTCTTGTAACAGGTGACAATCCACAGAGGAATAGTGGCAACAGCGTGGACATCCCATACAACAGTATACAATATAATGAAGAAGAATCTCCATCTAAAAAAGCGACACAATTCACATGTACACAAGTTGCTTCTACAACATATCAGTTCAACTGTCACATATCTTAAGCAGCTAGAGAATGTTTTGTTTGTTTGTTTTGGAATTGGGCAAAGTTACATGAGGGCTATCTGCGCTAGCCGTCCCTAATTTAGCAGTGAAAGACTAGAGGAAAGGCAGCTAGTCATCACCACCCACCGCCAACTTTTGAGCTACTCTTGTACAAACGAATAGTGGGATTGACCGTCACATTATAACGTCCCCGCGGCTGAAAGGGCGAGCAAGTTTGGTGGGACGGGATTCGAACCCGCAACCCTGAGATTGCGAGTCGAGCCCCTTAACCACCTGGCCATGCCAGGCTAGCTGGAGAATGAAACTGGTATTCATGTTATTCCTTATGAAGACATACTGGTCACGTCGCCAGACAAAGCACATTTGGATTTCTGTGTGCTCGGAATGCTGAAACGGGCACTGGTAAAGCGTCATCCTTGTACACCAAATAGACTATGGAAAGTAGTCAGGAAGACTTAACCACCTGGCCATGGCAGGCTAGCTGGAGAATGAAACGGGTATTCATGTTATTTCATATGAAGAGATACTGGTCGCGTCGCCAGACAAAGCACCTTTGGATTTCTGTGTGCTCGGAATGTTGAAACGGGCACTGGTAAACCGTCATCCTTGTACACCAAATAGACTATGGAAAGTAGTCAGGAAGAGATGTACTTAGAACATGACAGCCATACTACGTGGCAATATGGACTGTAAATACGTAGTTTCAAAGCTCCAAATCGCTTTAATATAATATATTCAACCAGAGTATTAATGGACTAGATGACTAATTGTTCCATATTGTTTTTTTCTGTTGAATTTACGAGTTTTGGGCTACAAGTTCAACAGCACAGAAAACCACGCCCTAATGTTTTAATTTACACGATTTGAGAATATATTTTTTCGTTAATTAAATAAAATGTGAAAAATTTTGCTTTGTGAATGTGGATCATTGAAACGGAAATTATAAAACAGCTCATTCAACTTGTATCTTCCCTTCAATGACGGCAATTTTTGTACAAAATTTTCTATCTCGTTTGTTGATAAGCGCAAAGCTACACAATGGGCTATCTGCAATGTACCCATCGCGGGTATCGAAACCCGCATTTTAGCGTGATATGCCCTCAGACTTATCGCTGAACCATCGGTAGATTTTTCTTACTTGACAATAAAAGTAAATGAAACGAACACTGCCATGTTCTCATTAAATGCCTTCAGTCAGAATCGCAGCTTCCAGAGTGCTAGATGAAAACAAAAAATCTAACTAGCATTATTTGCTGACTTACAGACTTTAATAATTTTAGAAACTTGAAACACTTTAATCAGCTTCATAGGTTTCTGAACTAAACATTTTCTACATTACATACTGGCTTTAGTAAACTGTTGACTGATAAGCCTAATTTTATACTCATTCCCATTCATAAGCCGGCCTGAAGATCTCTAGTATTAGGAGAAGAGCCTCTTCGGCACTAGATATGGCGGATGTAGTGTGGTTAACATATTATGGCACATTCTCCTTTGCTTTAACTCACGAGTTCTTAGTTCCGTGGTAAGTAAAGTGAAAAACGAGTTTCTATCGTGTTCACCAATTTCTGCGTATTTATTTTACCCTACACATTACTGATTGTAGATTGTTCTTCTTGGTATGCATACAAAATATTTTTCTGGCTGTTTATATACTATTTATATAACACGAAAAGACGCAAAAAAAAACAATTAGTCATTTTAAAACTGGAGTGAAACAGTTTGACGTTCGTCTTACGATGCAATACCTTGTGAGCTGAGATTACATATCTTGTAGTTACACGAGAATGTATGCGTGTTGGAATTACTTTACTTATCAAATAAATAAGCAAATACTTTTGTAGAGCGGGCAGATCTCATCATATATATATATACCGACAGATGTCGTTATACACGATGACCAGAAATAATAAAGTTTGAAACCGGGCAACATTTAATCACAGATAAGATGTAAAATATGTTATTAGTGTTGTCTTTTTACTTTTCTCTAAAGCTATACATGATATACATTACACAGTTATCGGTTCAGTTGTTCTGCAACAACGTACGTACCTTTTGGCTTGCCTGACTGCATTCTTCAAGTAATTTCTATACGTGTAGCAAAAATAAAACAAATCGGTACGAAGGTCATTTAGAGAATATTACGCATTTCCACTGTAGAAACAGATACCAACAATCATCTCTCTTAACTTGAAAAAAAATCAGGTTTTAAGTTTTATATTTCATCATTACATCTTTCTTAATACAGTCTCATAGAATACAGAACTGACGACGTTTAAATGATCAATTTACAAACGAATATTAGATATACTGATATAAATATGTAAACGCAAGAAGCATTACTGTATTCTTAGGTATCTTTTAAACATTAGAAATTAAAGAAAACATCACAAAACGTTTCAGAAAAACCGAAAGGATTATTCAATAAGTTTGTTTTCTCTGTTCGTGTCTGTGACAGGTACTTTTAAAATTATGATACTTCTGGCAATTAAAGAGCCATGTTAATATAAATAGTTTATTAATCTTAGATTGTGAAATTAAAACTGTAATACAGGAAACAGAGTATATTTAAAACGAATGCTCGAGGCCAAAGATGTAGGTCGAATGGCGTGTTTCAGCATCTCAGAGAACTTGCCTTTTCTATTTATTTGCGGTGTATTTCAAGTATGATTAGCTCCTACACATTGTAAGATTCTGTGTTTGCTTCACGAAATTGAACTGCAAAACGTCTTTCAACAATAACCATCTATTACACATGATCGGTAATCAAGAATCACTGAGCACAATAGATATGATTATTAAGTATTTATGCTATTTATGACGTAGCCCGGCATGGCCAGGTGGTTAGGGCGCTCGACTCGCAATCTGAGGGTCGCGGGTTCGAATCCCCGTCACACCAAAATATGCTCGCCCTTTTAGCCGTGGGGGCGTTATAATGTTACGG